TATATATATATATATATATATATATATATATATATATCAGACGTTTGTTCCCGCTAATATGTTGGGAATTTCAATGACAGAAAACGCTATAGAAAAATCCAAGAAGAAATGTGATAAAAAATTAGTTACGTGATTGGTTACTTACTTAGCTTGTGCATGTGCACTTCAATTTTGTACACGCTAAAATCGGAAGAATTGCGCTACTATATATAAATCCGTACTGTGGTATAAATCCGACCTCCATGAATTCGGAAATAATACTTGAGCACCTGGATATCATTTTATTCTTGTTTAACATTCGACGAAAAACGTGTTATTTCCGTGTTATTACCCTCATGTGGATACACCTTGGGTAATGTTAATGCCGACGGTATAGTAACATTCAACATGTAATTCGGAAAGTACTTAATGAAAACTTCATTATAGTGTTGAAAAATTCTTGACATCAGTTATTAAATTTTGAAATCGAAAATAGAAAGTAGTTTTATTAAAAAATTTCAAGTTAACGTGACAGAAGTTTTTACAGTCGTTACAAGATCAAAATATCAGCATTATTTTTTCTTTTTGATCCTATAACTTTTGTCTGACATTTTTCGTATCTTGTGTATTTTTCAAAATATTTGAATGGGGAATTAAAATGAGACACTCTATACACATATTTGTATTTAGATATATATTTGTATTTTATATTGTATTTATATATTTGTATTTAGATGTATATAGATAGCGAAATATTTATATAATGTAAAAAAGAAGATGTTACGTGCATATATTTATTGATTTATTTATGAACAGAAGAACGAAAAACAATTACAATAAAATAAACTCGATCATTCGTTGTCTTATTCTGTAATTTTACAAATTTTAAGATGATATCAGTCGAAAAACAAGTGAAGCATGAAGTTGACTTATCCAAGTACTTGGTATTTCAATCTTTACATACATTTGTGTTTGCTTTATATACATTTTTAATAAATAAAATGCAATTTGAATCTTTTGTTTCAGATCATTCTGAATCATACTATTATGTACGCAAAAAATCAAGTTTTTTAAAAATACTTTTTTTATTATTTTATATTTTTTAAACAAATTAACATTTTTTAATATTTTTTATTTTACATATTATTGAAGATACATAGAATAAATGTACAAAATTTGGAATCGATTCGTCGCATAATTTGCAAAAATATTTGTGAAGCTTTTTTATTTAAATTATAAACAAAAAAGGGGTGTAAGTTTTCAAAGCTAATGTATATATTTGATCACAATTAATTATTGATGAAATGGAGAAATATATTTTAAAAAATATTCTATATAAAGTTTCTATGGTTTTTTATAATTATAACAGACTCTTTTTTTATGTAATATTTAAAATATTATAATTATAATTATATAATATAATATAATATAATATAATATATAATATATAATATAATATAATATAATATATTATAATATAATATAATATAATTTATTTTCGTATAAATTATATGATTATATTAAATTATATTATGATTGTATATTATATATAAAGTTCATTCAAATTCTAATAACCCAGAGAATATTATGACGTCTTAAAGATGTCTAAAAACTGTCTTAAATATTATAAGATGTTTTATTTTTCAATAAATGACATTTTTTAGATCCTTCAGGCGTCTTATTTGGAGTTTTTGAATATTCCTATAATGACGTAAAAATTAATTATACGGAAAGTATTGATCGGTATATCAATGATTTAATATCTACACAACATTTCTAATGACAAAATT